TTACTGTTTTTATTACTTGTTGAGCCCATACATGCTAGAATTGGTATGCTGTTTTATTTAAGAGTTCATATGCCACAGTTACTTCTCAGCTTGCCAGATGTGAAACTATAGATGTAAAAATAAATGGCAGAGTAGAACCTCTGATTGCATCCCCGAATTCCCATGACTGCAGAAAAATCACAAGTAGGGTAGGTATTCAGAGTTTACCTAAAAATAAGACTGACTTCTGTTTCTCACTGCACTGATTTCTCAGACTTCACAACAGCCCTTAAAAACTTGCACCAAGGTGAGCACATGGGCACAAACAGGAGAGACAGAACTGGAAATAAGCTGCTTATTACAGGAGAACTTGTTTATCACCAACCTTTCATCTTTCCAGCTCTAATCCCCAGAAACACTCACTAGTTTTGAGAGATAGATGTGAAATACCAGAGGGATGCAAGCTTTTCCAGAAGTAAACGTAAGAGCAGCTTCCAACAGAAACAGGCTTATAAACACTCAGCACCTGTGAAAGCCACAGTCTGTATCTCCCTGATTAGGCATACAAAATAGGCATCTTGAAGGCCTGAGCCTGTACCTTCATTTTATTTAATTATTTCCTGCAATCAATACATTGAAGGGAAAAGTAAGCATTTGGAAGACTTTTCTGCATTTCTTTGAAGAAGAAATGCAAGCTACGTTACTTACAGTGCAAAAATGCTTCACTCATCATGTCTCACGACCATTACTTTAACATCCACAGGGAAAAGTCTGAGCTGGCACAGACAGTAACCAATACTATCAAGAGTCTTGCCTATGCATTTCTGCACTCAATCACACTCCTCCAGGATCAAACTCAGGTTTCTGGCCATGCTTCTACTACAACCAGCTAACAGGCACACTATGCATTTGGCCATTATTTTGGTTGGAAGTCAATTTCCATCTCAATTTCATGAATATTAATCTGCCTTCATTAGTTCTTCTTAAAGGCTCATTTTCTCGTGTCTGTAGAGTTACCTTTCACCAAACACATTTCAGCCTCTAGAACTGCAATGGAGAACCTTGCCAGGAATTAGCCAAGAAAAGAGGCTAGCTCAGTGTAGGTGGTTGGCCTTAGGACAGAACTTGTCAGTTGAAAAACAATGAAACAAATGTGGTCAACTAAGGAGCAAATAATTGTTGGTTGGCAGACAGCATTAAGCTCTCTCTTAAGCTAACATCCACGTGATCAACTCCTTTTATCTAATTCATAATTTATAAGTCATTCATCCAGTCTCCTCAAGCATTTAGTACATATTTAATTTTCACAACACCTGTTCATCAGAGACATAAACACCACCATTTGCCAAAGGAGGTTGTGAACGCGCCATCCCTGGAGGCATTCAAGGTCAGGCTGGATGTGGCTCTGGGCAGCCTGGTCTGGTGGTTGGCGACCCTGCACATAGCAGGGGGGTTGGAACTAGATGATCATTGTGGCTCTTTTCAATCCAGGCCATTCTATGGTACTCATTCTATTCTACTCAGTCCAGGGTAGGGTTACATGACTATCCCATCCCAAAAATTTAGTAGGCATCAATGGCAAAGTCTTGAACTGACGAGCTCATTTTCATCCCACTTTTCTCTCTAATCTTTAACATTTTGTTCAACACTCTGATCACAAGTTGAAGTGCTGAAAAACACATGCATATTTCTACCTCAAGGCAGATCTGGCAGGACTCAGTGGGGAAGACTATATTTGTTGGAGATTTGCATCTCTTTAAGAAATGAATCACTTAAATCATGCCCCTCGCAGAATTAATATTCAAGGTCATCAACTGAGTTCATAAGTTCAATTAACACCAAAGGAAGCTGAACAGCAAAATAGTCTCATTTAGCTGTCTGAAAATATGCCCAATAGATCTCTATTAAAGTAATTAAAGAATGACATTCCAGACAGAATGCCCAATCATTGAACTTCCTTGGAGAAAAAGCATCCCAGGTGCTCCCAAACACAGCAGATTACCTACTGTCTAAATTGCTGGTGCTGGAAACAGCTCTGATACAAATGTTACAGCTGAGCCAGCTACCTACCTGCACTTCAGGAAACAGTATTGCACAGCCTGCCCTACGTACCTTTTATATCTTAAGGAAAAAAAAAAAAAAAAAAAAAAAAAAAGGGGGCGGGAGGGGGATGCATGGAAAGAGTAACAGTTTATACCCTCTCCTCCTTATGAGCAGAAATCATTGCTGAGTTGCAACAGAAAAACAAGGATTTAAGTAACGGCACAGCCTCTCCATTTAAAAGCACTAACACCAGCAGAAGCCAAATACTGTGTTGTAAAGAAAGAGAAACAACACTGACTCGGGCGCTTGCTAGATTTGCTGTTTCTGGAACTGAGCCAGTATCTACCTCAACTGGGCATGACAGCTGACGAATCTCTATTCCACATTCTCCTACAGTATAGATACACTCTAAATTGTCAACTTGCCAAAATATAACAGAGGGAAGTTCTGATGTATTTTTCTTGTATTCAGTGTATTCTAGTGACTCAAAAATCTCCTACTAAACAAGCTTAAACATTCCCTCTGCACAGAGGGTACTCAAAATACTCATTTATCTGTTGTTCTTGGAATAGAACTCAAAAAATATATATTTTTCTCCTGAACTACTTTCCAATCTGCCCTTAGCACTGTCAGTATGTTGCAACTAAGGATTTCAGATCCAAATTACGGACTAGGGCCACTTGGAGTGAAAATGCATACCATTTTCCCCACCAACTCTAATACTGCAGAATATTCCAGACTACATCCCAGCCTCTTTGCTGCTACATCCACTAGTGTTATAGTAGAAAGGGTGAACAGAAGATTCAAAGTGGATAAGCAGCCAAAGGCTGATATGTGTTAAAGCAGATGATGCAATCCACTGCTGTTCAAGATGAAAAAAAGTTAAGGAGTACAGTCAGGATCTCTCCATGATGCATCAGTCTTAGTTGTATTCCTAGCCATTGCCTCATTTTCAAGGCTATCTTTTTACAGTGTTAGGAATCAACTTGTCACAATGCTGTTCTTTAACAAATAACTAGCAAAAATGAGCTTTTATCATAGTTTCATTGGTACATCACAAAGGAAACTCCAGCCCAAGATGATCACCTGGAGTCTAATAGAAACTTGTTAGCAGAGAGTAGAAGAGTAAGATCAGAGTGCTGGTGAAATTAGTATTTCTCAGGGATGGTCTCAGGTTGTGCAGCAGTGCCATATTGAAGATCCTGTTACCAAAGCTGTTATTCCAATTCTCTAACGTAACTTTCATTTCTTAAAAAATGATACACAGCAACAAAAAACCCACACACTGCCTCCACATTGACACTCGTCAAGATACTAGCTTTATTAAAAAAACAAAACAAAAAGCAACAAAGATTCTACCGCAAAACTAAACAAACACAACAACAAAAACATTGAAAGAAAAAAATAGGCATATCTGTGAAGAAGCATTAGGCCAGTGAAAAATGAGCTAATGGCCAGCTAAATCATACGGAATGAAAACAGTACTTAAAGAGACCATACCCTTTATAAAAGGCAAAGACTGTCAAATTGGAAAAAAGCTAAATCTTCTCCAACCACATTGCACAGTAAACAATCTAATGGATCTCCTGGGAATTATTCATCTAACTGTGTTGGACGTGCATGTATCCGGATTTGGTTGTGTCAGATCTGTGCTATATCCATTCCTTATTGACAGGAGGCCACTTATGGACACTTACAGACTGCACCTGACAGGCATCCAAGAGTAGCAAAAATACTGCCTTTATTCCTTCCCTGTTTGGTGACTGGTCTAGAAACATGAGCTCTCCAATTCCATAATTTCCTCGTGCAAAGCTATACCAACATGAGTGGAGAGAAATTAAGCAATAAAAATACTCCCAGGAGAGTATTATCACTGTGGTTTGAGAAAAAAAAAGGTCATCTTTGTCTGCAGTTATTAGTGGTTGCTGTCCAGAAAGATATCCAGGACAGGATAACTTCATAGCAGCACTTCTACATACTCTCTTATAAGCTCAATTATGTATTGCCAAATACTTCTGAATAAGAAAGGATACTTCTGCACTACCAAAGGTTTCAACTGACTTCTTCCATGCATCTGTTGAGAGGCTCTTTGAACTAATGCTAACTTTTTAAGCTTTCATAATGTTTCCTAATAAGGAAACATTTCACATCTTAATTATAAGCTACATGACGTAGTATGTACCCTAAGGTTTTCAACATTCTCATCTGATGCTTCTTAGTGGTTCTGTTGGAAGGGACAGCTGTGGATGTTTTATCCTTGGAGGTGTTCAGGGTCAGGCTGGATGGAGTCCTGGGCAGCCTTGTCTAATGGGTGGTAAATCTGCCTATGACGAGGTGGTTGGAACTGGATGATCTTTAAGGTCCCTTCCAATCCAAGTCATTCTATGGTAGCAAATAATTTTGCCTGTTTACTTCCTTCACAGCATTGATTTCTAAAAGGAGATCTTAAACACCTCCATTGTGAGGTGTGGCCAAGTGAAGATAAGAAAAAAGGATGAGACTTACTCAAGATAATTCAGCAAGCTAGAGGAAGCAGGCATAGGAACTGTTTAAGTTCCTAGACAGTGTCCTAGCTATACTATTATATTTCTAGAATATTTATTTTTCAATAAAGAGGAACAGATCTAGATTTAAAAGAAAATATAGACACAAAGAGAATTGAGAAGCATCACCATACTGAAAGCAAACTGTATCAGACCATAAGACAGCCCTATTTTCTAAGTGAAAAGACACAGCTATACATACTTCTTCCCATTATTACAATTTTTCTTATATTTTATTCATGTATGAAGGCCAAGAGTGTATCAACAAATTACTCATTAGGGTTAACTTAGAGATGCATATATATATGAACTAATGAAAACACAGATTCAGCCTCTTCCTATCTACCTCACTTTTTGTTGTTGTTGTTGTTGAATTTTTCCTTTAATTTAACAAATGCTCACAGTTCTACCGATGTCAACATTGCATATTCTTACCTTAGCTGATAAGGAGGTATCTTGATAGCAGCGTCAGGAGAATCCAAGGTTTCTGTATAACAAAAGGAAACAGTAAGATAAAATAAACTGAGTTCCACATTAGTATTAGAATCTCTGAAGCAGTGATCCCCAAAGCTTACACCTACTCCAGCTGACAGAATATCTGTCACAAGTGCTCCAATTCTCCATAGATTGACATGGCCCTAACAGCACACTGGGTATCAACGAGAAGGCACCAACAACTCTGTGATTCTCCGATTCTGTGAAATAATAGCCTTTCCTCAGTAAATTCCCTCTTACATGCAAGCATTTCAGCATCACAAAACTGGAACAGTACAGAGGATATCAGCATGGCTGCTGCACAAGCACAGCATCAATTCATGAATCACACAGAATACCAAAGTGAAAGGCCAGTAATGAGACAGCAACAGGTATGGACTCTGCTGTAACAGTGTACCGTTAAAAATAAAGATTGCCATCTCTCAAAACCTAAAGCAAAGCTAGGTGCACAGTTATCTTGATATATCTTGTTTCGGGTCACACTGACCAGAGCTCCAAGCAGTTACTGCCAAAAGAACCCCAAATCACAGCCAACAAACACTGAAATTTACCTAACCTCATATTCACATAAAAGAACACATTTTAGCAACTACTCATTGCATTATACAGCAAGGATCACAGAGCTCACGGAATCCAGAAAAAAATACATATATAATAATAATAATCCAGCTTTGGAAATAGAAACCCGAACCTAAGTTAGCAGAAAAAAACTGCCCTAGAGTGTCCGTTTACCGTGATTTATGAAATGGGGAGGAGGGAAGCGGTTGAGATAACACAGCCCCACACAGAAGGGATCTGGTTGCCACTGACACCTGTATTTGCCTCGGAAGACCCTCGAAGCCAACACCGAGAGCGGGGCGGAGGGGCACATGGCTGTTCCTCGGATGGCTGAACCGGTACCACAGCACCGAGCCGCCCGGATCCTAGAGCCGCTGGAGGCGCTCCGGTCCCGCCGGTGGCAGAGCAAGTTTTGCCGAGGTCTCGCTGCCGTCGGCGGCACAGAACCCGCCCCTCACCTCCGCTGCGCCCACCTGAGCCCCCAGCGCCCCCCGCCCTTACCGATGGCCCAGGTGCAGCTCTCCTTGATGGCCCTGTGCTTGCTCCCCGACGCCTCCTTCTGCAGCTTCCGTAGGATTTCTTCCATCTTGCCTTCCCGTCGCGTCGCCGCGGGGGCACAGGTGCAGGCAGCGATAGAGGAGACGGAAAAGCAGCGCGATGCGGCACTGGAGCTGTCCCCGAAGCGGCCGTGCCTATGCGGGGACGGTGCGCGGCACCCTGCAGCCCGCCTGCCGTCGCTGATGAATCACGCCGAGCTCCATGGCGGGGACACGTCAGTTGTTGCCGCGGCGGAGTCCCTCCTCCTCCTCCTCCCACCCCGGGCAGGCTCCTGTGGCGCAGCCGGGCTGGGGCCGCGCCTGGCCCCGCCCGCCGCAGTCAGAGCCCGGTGGCTGCGGCCTCGCTGCTAGCGGTGAAGCGGGGTGTTCCTCCGGCACCGCGGGGGGAGAGGTAGCGGCAGCTGCCCACGGGTGGGCAGCGCAACGGGGCCGGGGAGGCTGCAGCCCGGCCGGTCGCCATGACGACCGGCGGCCCCTGCCCGCAGGACGCAGGTGTGCCCGCAGCCTGCCTGCGGCTCCGCGTCGGCTTTGCAGAGCTGAAACGCGGGTCTTGCCGTCGGCCCTACCCCGGGAGGCAGCCGAGGGCGCGGAGCCACGGAGTGAGGCAGCCAGACCCGCCTGGCGGCGTGTGTTCAGGGCATATCGACCTCTGAAATGAAATAAATGGCCGCATGCCCAGCAGGATCTGCACTGCTTTTCCCATCTGGGGTATGCTGAGGGGCAGGCAGCACGGTCTGCTTGCCTTCACCTGTGCCCTAAGCGTGCACTTTCCTATCCCCAGCCAGCCGACCAACCCTTGCACTGCTAGCTCAGATCTGCCTCCTTGTGCCCCTGAATGCTTTCTGCCCAGCGAAACACTTTTTCAGTCTCTTGTTCCCTGCCGTACCTCTAGGAAATGCAACTCGCCCCTTCTGTGACTACATCACGTTAATTGACTGTTTTATTGCCTTTGTCTTGTTGGAGAATAAACTCCCTCAAAAGGCGCAAGAGGACAAACAAGATAAGAAAAGAGACAGATCAGAGAGGCAGCCCGTGCAGCAGCTGGCTGTGTTAGTGGTTGTCTCCTACCACTAATTGGAAGAGTACCAATTGTAAATCAGCAGACAGAATATTGGCACGTGGTGAATCAGCCATAGCGTTTCCCATAGGGGACTGAGCTTTCAAAGGCTGTCCGTTATCCAAATTCTTACAAGGGCTGATCCTGCTTGTGTCAGGAAGTATAATGAATGAATAATCCATAGTTGCATTTTAAATCCAGACTGTAAAACTAATGTCCGAAGAAAAGGATAAAAAATGATGCCAGCAAGGTCTGTAGGTGGACAGGGAACGTCTAGAATTAAAGCACCTAAGGATTAAAAAAACATGCTTTGATAGAAAAACAACTACATTTTAGATTCCAGGGTGCAAACTAGCCTTTAAGCAACTGGAAGTTGTTTTCCAGAGTTTCCTATCTCTGGCCATGCTCCACCACCTTCCTTGGAATGAGCAACCTGCAGTAGCTACTGGCAATAGCTAGTGACCAGGGCTGTTATGTACCATGGTGCTCTAAGTCAAGGATCCGGCTGAAGTGGGAATGAATTATTTCCTGCTTACATGTCTGTCTTCTTTATTCTGTGATGCACTTAGTGGAATAAGCATGGGAGTCAATTTCTACCTTTTCTACCTTTTTAGATCTTTTGTTTTTTTTTCCCTAGGGGGCAAAAAAAAAAAAAAAAAAAGAAAGGACTGTGGTAATGTTTGAGGTATTTTTAAATGTAGATAAGATATGCCAGAGATCACTGAGACCCATAGAACTCTAATAAATATGTATGTGTCCATTCATTGTAAATAACTAATTGCTTATTTTCAGGAAGCAGTTGATTAAGTTATTTTTGAATTCTAGAATCAAGACTTGCACTTAAAATCATAGAATCCTTAGAGTTGGAAGAGACATTTAAAGGTCATCTAGTCCAACTCCCCTGCAGTGAACAGGGACATAGACAGCAAAATTAGCTTGCCCAGGCTTGATCCAGCCTCACCTTGAAAGTCTCCAGAGACAGGGCCACATCTCTCAGCAATCTGTTCCAGTGCATTACCACCCTCACTGTAAAAGACTTTTTCCTTACATCTAACCTAAATCTACCCTCTTTAAGCTTGAAGTCATTTCCCCTTATTCTATCAATGCTGCTCCTAAGCACTTTTCTTCACAGTTGTCAAAAGAGTGAGAGGACTGAAGGTGCTGTTTAGAGCATCTTAAGATATGTCTATAAGATTATGCAGATGGAAAAACAAGTAAGCCATGATGACTCTTCTCAAGCAAATTCATTTCAGAATACCGTGAGTCTGTTTGTTGACACTGTTCATGTAAGGTTTGCCATCTCCATGAACAGCAGTTCATCAGTCCTTGTCTCTTATCTACAGTAAATGTATAAATACTGAGTAACCATGTCCTGCTGAAACTCTTTTACTGAATGCATTTTGTGCAGACAGGGTGTCACATTTATTTGCTTTGGGCTCCTCTCCAAGGAAGATGGTCTGGAATGTCACAAGATATGTAAGTCTAGCTACAGAGTAGGGAGAATGGAAAAGTATGGTCACTCTTATAGCTCTAAGTCCTCCTTTGCCATGGCCAGCAACCTTCTGCAGTAGAAGCTACAGAGTTGTCTTTGACTGCTTGCACAGTTCTAGCGTTGTCCAGTTGGAAGCCAGAAGAATCTATGCAGATCTCATAACTGCAGGATGCTGTGGTTATATATTACTAACACTGACAGATAGGCAAGACTCATTTCTGAGACTTTCTGAGACTCATTTGGTGATGCTGCTGATCTACTGCAATATGTGAGTGCAGGTTATCATAGAATCATAGAATGGCCTGGGGTGAAAAGGACCACAATGATCACCTACTTTCAACCCCCCTGGGTTGCAGGGTCACCAACCAGTAGACCAGGCTGCCCAGAGCCGCATCCAGCCTGGACCTCTGCATGCCCTACATAGCACCCAGTGAGCCCAGGCGGCTGGATCTCTATTAAAAGAATGGGGTGCTGTTAAAATGCAGATGTCCTTTTATTAATGAAGAAAAAGCTTAGAAGCGTGTGAACAAAACCAACCTACTCAACATATTCAAAGCACTAAAATCATATTAGTACAACTCCATTAGACTTGTCAGCAGAATTATGGAACAGCGTATGCTTGTCTTGATGCTACTACAGCTCTGCTGCTTCCAGTAGCCAAGGAAGGATATGTAGTTTAAATCTCCATAGCATATGTCCATATTGTCCATGCATGCACCTGATTGATCACTGTAGTGTTTGAGATTCTAAAAATGAATAGAATATACAATTGAAAAGCAGGAAGAAAGGTTTGTTAGACTGTGAAATGATCATATATTTAGTCATTATTATTCACATGCTACCTGTTCTTTAGCCTTTTTAACAATGTCAGGGTCAACAACTTTGGTCAGGATCTCATTGCACTCTATAGACATCAGGCAGCGTGGGCCAATGAGGGGGGCTGTGTCCCTTAAAAATCCAGTCTGATTAGAAAATATAAAGAAATGCCCTCCAATGACATGAAAAAACATCTAGTTCCATGGCTTTGAAAAGATGTAGACCCAAATGTCTCAGAATTACTTTTCTAGAGTTCCTGCCATACTCTCTTCCCCACTGATTGGAGCGATCAGAGTTGCAAAAATCCTTGGGCTCATTTTTCTTCTGGGAGCTCTCTGTACATGTTGCTTTACTTTTGCTGAACATATTGTTCAAAATAATCAGTAAAATTGGTGTAGCTGCAACATGGGCTAGCTAGCACCAGCTAGATATGAGACAGCTGACATCAGCTGAAGGTACCCTTCCTTACTTCTCCTGAAAGGCAGCAAGACCTTGAAAAACAAAGCAAGGATTTGCTTTTAATTTTGCTTGTAGAGACTGTAACTATGTCACTGATGATGGGATGGCATCTATCATTTTTCGCTTGATTACACAGAGTTACTAGAGGCTGAATACTCAATCAAGTTGTTCCTGAGCAGGTGCTGCTTCCTGCACCCTCCACAACATGACCTTGCAGAGCAAAGGCAAAGCACTGTGAAGTGCAGTGACAAAGGGTGCTGCTGAGAGCAGGGATTGGGAGCTGTGAACAAAGCTAGCATATATTCAGCAATGCCTGTTCAGTATAACCATACACTGTTTACTCTGTAAAGAACATGCAAAGCAAAATTAAAGTAAAGTGAGACCCATATCAGGATAGAAATGTGAGACAAGACTCTGGCCCGGTTGATGTACTTTCTGCAAAGATAAATGAAAAGCAAAAATCCTCCTAACTGCCTTCAATCTACCATAATCTTCTCATCTCCCCACAGAATTACAAAGGCAATCAACAAGGTATCAGAAATGCAAAACAGCCATTCTAGGTCAGATCAATATCCTTACTAACCACAGACTTATTTGTGACAGATTTGTTGTGTATTCTTGGAGAGGATGGAAAGACTGTCCCTTCCTCCAGTAAACTCCCACAGTTTCTGTTCGTTTGCAGACTAAGCAGTTTCTGAGATGGGGTTTTATCTTTATGTATTCAGCAGTACCTGGTGGATTTTTCTTTGTGAATGTGTCGAATCCTTTTGAACCTTTTGACCTTCACAGTCATTTTTTGGCAGCCAGTTCTGTAGATGAGTGGCACACAAATAAAAGAAATATTTTTGTACAGTTTTAGCTTTTTCCTTTTTTTTCTGCTAATGCTGCCAAACTTTTGTACTATGAAAAATACTGCATTAGCATTCCCTATTCACTTTTTCCATGCCATTTATTATTCCTTATGCATTGATCATATACTTTCTCAGCTGTTTTCTTTCCAGTCCACAGGAGACTATTGTTAATTATTTCATATATCATCTTTGGTAATATTAATTGCCCTTCTCTGTACCATATCCAGTTCTGTTCAACCCTGAAAAAGCTTGGAGAAAAGAGTAAATACATGGGGAAAAGGTAGCATGGAGATTTGAACTAAAGCTCTTTCTTTATCAGACTCTGCTGAAAAAGGGGAAGGAAACTAAAAGGCTTCAAGAGGAAAGGAAATTAGAAGCAACTGTAGAGTTAACCTTAATATCACAAAAGTTCCAAAAAAGTGGCCATAAAGATGCATTTCAGAGAACTTGCTGTGTCCCACTATTCTTGCTTTAATC